AGTCTTTCTTTCTAGACTGCCGCTGGAGAGTAACAAGGCCAATCTTTTCTAAAAAAAAAAGAAAAAGAAAAAAAAAAATACGCATCGGCAGTAAATAATCTGCCATTTTCATTTTGCTTTTTTCCTTTTTGAGGATAATTTGCAAGAATATCCTAGTTGGAGTGCGAAATTAAAGTTCCGGTTGAAATTAATGCTCGAATGAATGAGAATTTAGAAGCGAGAGAAAAAAAAATATATCATGTTATCATCGCGGGTCGGTATGCATGCGTAGTAATTATCCAATTGCATTGCTCAAAAATGGGCGTTAACGGTTGACGAGTATAATGGTTTCCGAAAATTAAGGATTAGTAAAGGAGCTTGGCGAAAAATACTGAGGATTGTTTTAAGTGTGAGTTGCTTGGAACACATCGTGTGAACTTGTGCGCGGAGACGAAAGTACATACGTACGATTATCCGTTTCGAATGATTGTCTAAATACTTGGATACTTCAACACGACAATATTTTGCCAATAGGCATCGTGGAAGAAACCAATAAATTCTCACAATTCACATATACAGTACATGCGTGCGTAAATTTTGGTTTGTAAATAAATGCGCCAAGTTAGGATTAGGATTAGTTAAAGATAGCCAAAGAGATTGGATTTGCCGACAAGGAATATTCAAACAGTAAATAACAAATAAACAAAATGCAAGATTATTATGAGTTCCTGTAAACTTTATTTGTTGTGTAAAGTGAAAAAAAAAAAAAAGTTTACGAAAAGGAGGAATCACGTGATATTAAATGGGAAAAAAGCAACGAATCATTCTGTTAACGAGGTTTTTTTTTTTTTTTTTTCTTGAGAAAAATTTTTATTGATGCAAAGTCTCCATAGTCATAACTTTACTGATACAGTAGTCAATCGTATGGCAAGTGTTTGTTTTTCTCTTTTTTTATAATGAGACGAAAATAATAATAATAAAAAAAAAAGAGGAACGATGACGTATTTACAAATGCAAAAATGAAAATTGAGATTGTTCTAAATTTTGTGATTCCGCTTATGCGGCTTTTTTTCTTTGACCATAAGTTGAAGGTGAACTATATGGTTTTTCGATGCATTTTGGCTTTCAACATGACTAACAAGTATCTCCTTGCCAACTGCAGGGTCAACGATGGTGGTTTGTTGTTGTGGAGGCGACGACGCTGTTGATGTACCATCGGTCGATTTTCACTGAGCTTCATATTGCTATCTTTTGCGACACTATTGAAATGAATAAAAAGATATGACCGTGATTAGTTACTGCCTTTAAGATATTATGAGATAGGAAGCTTCCGATAACAACTGCAACAAAAAAAAACCTACGTTTCTTTGTCTTCACAGTTGAAATTTGATTTCTTTATTATGGTGCTTTCGTCCTCAATCGGTGTAGCATCCATCACCACCCTTGACTTATCGCAGATGCTATGACTTAGTTGTGATACGGCCGCAACGCGAGATTTCTGATAAATCGTGAAGCGATTTGCAGCGGTAGAGTCTATTAGTTTTGTTGACATGTTTCGCTTTGTTCGAGTAAACGCTGAGGTAGAAAACCTCTGACTGGGGTAGGTTTCCATAAATTTTTCTCGGTCCCTTGGTCGATTCGGACCAAGGGAAGATGGAATAATTGGTCTATATCGTGCATCCTTGCATTGAATTGATTTCTCTGTGAAAAAGAGGAGAGAATTGGTGAGCATTTAATTTCACGAAAACGAGCATTTAGATGTTAAACCATATGATACATACCATATCGCTTCAAGCAAGTTTCACCAATCATTGACACAGGAGGAAGCTCCGGTGATAGCTCTAGTTTGACGAGTGGCTTTTGTTGTTGTTTCGGTACCATTTGTGTTTTCATAACCGCAACAGGCGCGGTGCGTTTCTGAACTTTGCATTTTGGTGGAGTTCTATCATGCGAAAGAAGAAGCAAATTCGTTAATGAACTTGAGTTTCCGATATTTAATGCATCGTTTTAGCAAAGGAGAAAATGACTTACGAAGGGACCGGAGAAGTGGATAAAGACTTTTCACTGATGTCCATGACAGTTAAGGCTAGAATTCCTTGGCCCAACGTCATACACCATCTGCCAAAATCACGGCTTCTTTCGGTAATAAACATGATGGTTGTTTTTGTGCAATTTACAAGAGTACCACCAATTACGTAAATACAAAAGTTTAAAGCTAACACGCAATAGAAAATTGCTGAAATTATAAAGAAACAGAATAATGATATTCGAGGGATTATGTTATCAAATGGGAAAAGTTCAGTGGATTTTGGAATCAACTTTTGATGGGTCGATGACGAGAAAGACATCTTGGGTGGTAGAATATATAAGATTTTTCTTGATGTGCAGCGGAACTGGTGTTTAGTACGCAATGCGTGTGAATGTAGGTGTACGGAGACGAGCAATGCTTAAAAGAGAAAAATAATATCGACGTGTGATGCGAGGAAGTTGCTACAGGTAAATGTTTATTATTTACACGGAAATAATAATAATAATAAATCAGTGGTGCTGACGGCTTGCTCTCTTGAGTGATCGTATCAATTTAATAACAACTGCTGAATCTTTTTGAAAAAATTCAAGATGTATATATACTGTATATTTACGCATATGATTTCTGCAATGGAAATGTGCCATGAATGCGCCTATTCGTAACGAATATATATTTAAAAAAAAAAATTTTTTTTTTCTTTGGTGGATGTTTCATAAACAATAGGATGGAAACGTGACATTTTTTAGTCAGGTTCACTACTTGATACCAATATTCGAGCTATGATACGGTAGATGACGATAGAAATAATCGTGACCTTTGTTTGACTTTTTATGCGCAAGATGTCATCGGTCCTATAATAAACTGTATATTATGTATTTTTGTCATACGTATCTGATTTTTCTATTGTCCAGAGATTGTTGTTTATTAATAGACTTAATCAGGATTAGCGGACCCTTGAGTGTTTTCATATGAAAATTTTACGTCCCAATATGGTGCGCTATTGTAGTCATGTAATTAATTACGTCGCCAATTCCTGAGGACAATGTGTATAATTATTCAATGCCGGACGCTTAGGATATTACCAAATTGAGAATGTGACGAGCACTTGCCGCATTTGCTTGCCTTTACGTACTATAATTTTTTCGAAAAATTCCTAATATACTTGTAGGATTACCTTGAAGATGGTAGGTACATCGCACCCACATTCAAATAATAATAATATTAAGTAGTCAAGATTCTTAACAATGGCTGGTTCGTTCGAAACCTTAATCGGAATTTATTAAGATGGCGAGGATGCCGTATCGTAATTAGCGAGATACAAAACAACGATGATTAGTGTCTCTGACGAGAATTCGAAGAAGAATATAGTTGCAGGCGAGTTGGGTCGTGTGTCATGATAGGATGTAACGTTTCAGAGTAGATATCATCTTTCGGAAAGAAGGAAGTAACGGGTGCGTGGTATTTAGCGGGAAGGAACTGTATTACTAGTGAAACCCACTGTATGTAAAAGACAATTTTCCAAAAGAAGAACTCGTGTGTGCATAATGGTAATTACACGTATCTAATGACAACTGCATACTCTGTACAATGATAACTTACAATTATGGGATACAAGAAATAAAAAGACATGTGAAAAAATGGCTTATCGTCCACTTTTGAGAGTGGCTAGTATTAGCATTAATAGACATGTGCATGCGTAGCCAGCGCTTGTTATAGAATATATGCTAGACACGTGTGTTCGTTAACGAAATATAATGAATTGTCGATACCACTCCACTTAAATGATAATGCAATGCATAGTGCGGAGTAGGATCTCTATTATGGGGGTGGGGTAGAACGTTTTATTAAACCGTTGTTAACATATGTAATCAGTCCCTTTCGAAATACGTGCCCCCTCCCCTAACAAGTAAATTTTACAGTGCATTGGTGTCGTAGATACCTAACAATAATATAACATACTTCTTTTATCAAACATCAAATTTTGATCTTTGAGCTCACCATGTACTGGCACGTTTAATAAGCTCCGGGTGTGCTCTTTTTTATCATTTTTTATGAGAATCAGAGGGCGATGCTTTCGCGCGATGTTTTGTCTCTGTGTTTAGCTTGCAACAATGTGCGCCGGGTTTTACTGTAAAAAAAAATACATTAATAACAAGATAATCAGTGACGTGGAATATGATTCGACAATTTTGCCAAATTATCCTACAGTATCTTTACACAAACAAA